TGATCCTGTGTAAAAGGAAAGATGAATGGGGCCATGTATTCTGTGAGAATTTTGGAGTGACAACCTCCTTCCATCAGCAAGGGCAATTGGAAGATGAAAAGGTGGCTGGGTTTTCAGCATACAATGATCCAAACACATCGCCCCCAGACTCGGCAGGGCACGATAGCGGATGTTCAGTATTGTTTATGAAGCAGGGTATAGAAAGTACATTATTGGAAATGAAAATATGCTATTTATTTAGCTTCCTTTACAACACAGTGAGCAGACTGGGCAAGCTGCAGCATCAGTCGCTATTGGAGAGAGGACTCGGTCTACGCTAACGCGAGAGCGCGCTCTGTATATAGACGTTCGTAAGATAGATCCTGGCAGGCGCGCCTAGCCAGTCTCCAGATCTCAACCCCATAGAAAATCTTTGGAGGGAGTTGAAAGTCTGTGTTGCCCAGCGACAGCCCCAAAACATCACTGCTCTAGAGGAGATCTGCATGGAGGAATGGGCCAAAATACCAGCAACAGTGTGTGAAAACCTTGTGAAGACTTACAGAAAACGTTTGACCTCTGTTATTGCCAACAAAGCGTATATAACAAAGTATTGAGATGAACTTTTGTTATTGACCAAATACTTATTTTCCACCATCATTTGCAAATAAATTCTTTAAAAATCAGACAATGTGATTACCTAGGATGAAAATTACAGGCCTCTCATCTTTTTAAGTGGGAGAACTTGCATAATTGGTGGCTGACTAAATACTCTTTAGCCCCACTGTATGTATTCAAACAAGACATTAATGTATCTTCAGAAGCTGTAACATAACCTAAATAATTAAAATGTTAGGGTCAGAGACAAGCATTAAACTGCATTGCAATCCTTGTATAAATGTAGGTAGGACCAACGTGTAACAGAGTAGAAAGTAGCATACAATACAAATATATGAAACATAACATTGCAAATAAAATAACAAGTACCTTAAAATGTTGTAAATGCCCCCCCTACAGCATTTACATTAAAGGTCCCATGTCATGCTTTTCCGGTTATTACCCGTCCCCTTGTGTGTTATGAAGGTTTTTATGCATGTAAACGGTCTGCATAGTCAAAAACCCTCAAAGCACACCCTGTAGCGAGTAAAACTCTAACACAGAAAATACCTGTCTATGCTGCCCCAGAACGCCTCGTTGGAGATTTTCTTTTTCTTCCTGGGTACAGTGACGTGACCATACCCAAATGGACCGTGGAGCTCCTCACACACACACAATCTTTCAGCGGCTAAACTGCGCCGTGTTTGGGGGTGCGGGTGCTAGTGGAGCCTCGCAGATGGGGGTGCTGCAGCCCCTTCAGCAACCCCCCTTTCCGCGTCCATTCGCAATGTTGCTGTCTCACAGACCGCATACAGCAAGCAGGAAATGAACCCAGCTCACACTGTCCGCTCCTCGCAGCAGAGAGCCGTGCCATTTTCTGGTTGCTAACGCCATTGTAACACATAATCACTGATGTTCCGCTGTAACGGTGGTGGACTCATCAGAACAGAGTGGGCGAGCTGACCAATCAGAGAACAGTGGGCTCACGGGAGGGGGGGCAGGAGCTCCAACAAGCCATGTAGGACAGAGAGTGAATACCATGGTGAATACACATACTATACAGAGATGCTGTATGAAGCCCCGCGCTCGCTGCGCCCCCACCACCAATTGAGTTGAAAGATTGCACAATATACAATCTATTCTAGTGCACCTCAAGCAATGGAATTATGACAGTAGAAATGGCCCATGACATGGCGACCTCTTCCACATAACACAACCTCAACCTTTATTCTCCACCTCGACCGCTCAGTCAGCCCTCAGCAGTTCTCCTGCCTCCCCTGCTCCACCCCCCTGCCTCCTAATCTCTACCACTAGCAGCAGCCTTCTCGCAGAGACACCCCTCACTGTCTGCAGCTCTGAAGCATTTATCCTGTTCTACAACAAAGCCCTCCCCTTATTTTATCCTCAAGCACTCGACCCTGTGGCACGCTGCTTGCCGCTCTCCCCGCCGTCGCACTACAGGGCGCTCCAAGACAACAGGTCAAACAGCATCTCGCGGGACAAATGTGCCCACAATTCAATCGACATGTACCGCCTACACAGCCCCGTACCGCAGGAAAGTGAAAACACTCCGCTTCTTATCTTCTTCACATCTTTGACTTGTTTTTCTCACCCTTTGGGCAGTCGAGCCCTCACTCTGTCGGCTACTTCCCTTGTTCCCACGCAGACGACACACTGCCCCGGATACCGCCTTTATCCTGGTTTCCTTCCGGACACTGGGGCAGGCCTGCCGGATCAGACCTGTGAAACTTCTCTCCAACAAAAGTAACCAGGCAACAGAAAAATAAAACCAGGACTCTCGTCCTATTTTAACGTTGTATTTTAATCGTTTTGTGCTACACTTCACACGTCGACACAATTCACGGAGAGGAGTAAACTGAAGGTGCCCCGTTGGTCAATTTAACTCAGCGGGGACAACACACGCCAGAGATCGGTGAGTTGTATTCATTTTTCTTGCTAATAAATATATTTGTTGTCAACATCCTGCTCGAAAATCACAATCAACACACTACAATATTTCCATTACAAATTGTCTTCAATTGTGTTTTTTATTCCAATTTTGATACACTGATATTTTTTCAAACATCTAAGTTACATATTCACGAATTTGATGGCATAAACATGCCCATAAGTACTGGATCATCGCTATAGTTTACACTGAGATAAACGGTGTTTCTTGTACGATCTTGTTCTGGCAGTCTGGCACTATGATCTGGATTTCCANAGGGGCTGAAGGATAAAGCTGCAGTGCTGCAGTGGGAGCTCCGCTCTCTGGACCAGGCGCTCAGCTACAGCGAACCGCAGAACAACATCGATCAGCTCCAACAGCACTGGAACAGCCTCCAGGTATTACTGCTTTAAACTGGATGTAACCACCCCACCATTCTATTATTATTTAGAAGGGTGAGTTCCAGGGAATAAATCTGTAGAAAAGGATGTTGTACAGTAAGTGAACCTTGCTAGTAAATGTGACAAATGAAGAATATCATTAGGGATGCTCCGATCGATATCGGCCGATATTCACTCTCTGCCGATCGATCGGTGCTCTCTATAAATGCCGAACGGGAGAGCCGATCACATGACGTAAAATACACTTTTCTCTGTGAGCGGCAAAAACAAGCTCGCCAAAATGGCTTCACCAGTCTGGCAGTATTTTAAGGTGTCCGAAAATGACAGTAAAATAGCGGTGTGCAGCGTGTGTGAAGCAGAAATCCTGCAGCTCCACCCGCTGTGACGGACCGGTGAGCGGAGCAACACACACACTGAGAGTTAGACCTAACACACTTAGCCATTGTATCTACCTCAGGAACAAGCTAAACTAGTTATAAATATATTTATTCTTCACTGTGGGTCACTCATTACTGGATCAGTGAGCTGCATGAGATACTGACAGGCTGTCAGGAGGGAGAGGAAAAGAGAGCGCTTCCGCTAATTTCTCCCGTGTTATTATCCAAAGTTAATGTAAACTTGAATAATGTACTTCATTTGAATGTAATAATTATGTTGGTTGTTATTTGCGCCAGTGAATGAGCACCATTAACTGAGCCCCATTAACTGAGTTTTAAACATCACTTTAAATGGAAGATCCACATAGGCCCCGCCCAATTGATCGGATTGGCGATCGGTATCGGCCGATACTGATTCCGGCGATCGGCCCCAAAATTGGCGATCGGAGCATCCCTAAATATCATTCATTGCTTTCAGGCCAAGATTTTTCTATTGTTATTCTTAACTATTTTCATGTAAATCAATGTTATAGGAACATATAGATTTATTAAGAGATAAAAAACATTTGTCCAACAGCCTCCGGGTTATTATTACCTTATTTATCCTTCAACAAATCTCAATGTATCTACCTGTTTTATTATCAAAACTGCTGCTATGTTCCACACGCAGGGATGCTAATATTGCTCTATTTCTATGTTACGCTATTGCAGGAATGTGAATATTACTTATGTGATGATGTCTTCCTTCTTCTGTTAGAAATGTGAGAAATCCCTAAAAGATTTGGGTGTGAAAGTTCATGACCTTCACCAGGAAATAGAGGTTACGTCTGCCACTGACGAGCTGCCATCAGAAGTGATGACTTCGGTGAAGTCCTTATGCCAGCAACATGACAGGTACCACCTTTCAAAACAGATGACATGTCCTTATGTTGTTGTTGAGATGTCACATATAGATGAAAACAGCCTCATTATATATTGGGGATTTACTTTGATTGTTTCTAACATTAAGACAAGCAGCAGTTTTTTTTGCAAATTTTTCTTTGAAATATACATTTGTATTTCTCTCAAAGTTTAAACAAGAAATATGTAAACCTGATGAAGTTGCATGACATGCAGTAACTGTACACTTCATCACTGGAGCTTTTTTAACTTGATTTAGCCTTCTTGAACGGATTCCACACATTCTCAGCTGGCATTTTCTATTTCAATTTAGTTTTCAATTATTCTTACCAGAAACATGCCTTAGTGGAGCACTCTGCCCAAGCTTGGGCAGAGTGATCCACTAAGGCATGTTTCTGTTTCAATGGCATGGAAACACAGAGTTCTCCTGTAATTATAAACTGATTGCATGTTATCTAATGCCTTAACTCACATTTACACATGAACATTTCTGTGTATTGTTGTTCCATAAATGTGTTTGTAATTTGTTCTTGCAGTTGTTTCTTATGCACACTATTTTTTGCTGGGGAAACATAACAAATGTTTTAGTTTTGAGCTAATTTCGTATAAATCATGCGTGTGCAAATGTTGTTTAAACAATAAATGTGATTTAACTATGTCTATAGTCTAAAGTCCAGGATGAGTGAGCGTCAAGGAACCTGCTCTACAAACACAGCATGCTGTCTGATGGACTGTCTCCATGCTTTGCAAGACTGGAACCAGAGCAACCCTTCACAGTCCATTTCTTCTGTGCAGGTTTCTGTCTTTTCATGCTTATTGCTTTCTTTTAGTAAATATTTATACAGTTGATTAAACTTGAGGGCTGCTTATTACATCTAATATTTTGCAATCCATGATCAACATTTCATACACACACTGATTTTTCATCACTGAGCACTTTAATATGTTTTTCCTCCTTGTGTTAGGCGAAATTAGAGGAAGGTGAAAAGTTGCAGTCCAGCCTAAGGGATGCGCTTTCTCACGATCAGTTTCTAAGAGACTGTTTGAAGCCCGACTTGGCTATGAAACTGGAGAGGGATTGTTCAGAAAGACTCTCCGAAGCAAGCACACATAAGGTTTCTCTTCGCCTGAGCTTAAAGGTATTTTATGCATGTTTAACAGATTTATATATAATTCATAGTTAATTAACTATTGCAATTTTTTATTATTAAAAAAGGTTATGTAACTCAGTAATAATTAATGAAATTTGTACCCTTTTTTTACTCAAGGAACTTGATGGAAAGCGTAAACAAAAGCTGCCTGATGTCCTTCAAGGTAATGTAGAGGAGACAAAGACACCGGTAGTGGCACCACCACGAAAAAGCAAGCTCTCACCTGAGAAGAAACAACAAGTCGAACTGCAAAGAAACATTCCCATAACAGAACAATCTACATCTATTGAATATGAATTATTGGTTTCTGCTGAGCTGGAAACTGATCCTAAAACATTGAAGCCTACTTTGACAGCAGTCAAGGAAGACATCAAATCCATTGGTGTCGAACACAGCAGAATAGAACCAACAAAAACTAAATCTCCGAGTTCAACATATCAATCAGAACCTTTTACAGCGCAACCTTACAACACTTCTCAAGAGATACTGTCGAAGAAGGAAGAAGGTAAAAGCCTAGATCCCACTGCTGAGCCTTTTGGAGCTAAGCAAACTAAACCTACTTTAGAGCAACCTGTACCAATCAAAAAGGTCATTGGGCAGTCTGCAGCTAGTGTTAGTGAGAAAACTACACCTGTACCATCCAGGAGAAAATCCAAGACTTCGGCCACTGATACTGAACCTGCCCAGCCTAAGGTGGAGCCTGAAATGGTGAAAACTGTTATTACTCAAGGATCACCCGGAAATTTGACAGGAAGTGCTTCTTCTGAAGAAACAAAGCGTAAGGCAACCATTATTTTAAATGTATCAGAGCCATTCCCGTCTGTCACAGTAGCAACTGATGCCAGGCTTGGACCTACCAGTAAAGAGTCAAAGACTGCAGACATGTCTTCTAAGGATAATGTTTCAAAACCTACTCAGATCAAAGGCAACACAGAGAATGTAAAATCTGTCCTCTCTTCAATGCCCATCACAGAAACAGATAATGTGCAACCTAAGTCAGTACAAAAATGCCAAGAGTCAAAGAGCTCCAACGTTTCTACGACTGCAAAGCTTGTCGAAACTAAGAAAATCCCTCAGAATGGAAAGACTGCTCAAGGCGAGCAGCCTAGCGAAACTGCTGTTTTGGTAGAAAATAAGCTTTCGCCAAACAAAAGAAAGTCAAAGAGTCAAAAACTTTCACCAGCATTTTCTTACAGTGAGATAACACAGACCATGGAAATGCCTGACAGTCAAATGTCTTTACAGAGATCCAAGGAGCAAACTGATTCTGCTGCTGTGGTGGTAGAAGCTGAGTTTGTACGAACCATGAGAAAGTCAAAGAGTCTTGACGTTTCCACTGTTTCAGAGACTGGGAAGCTTTTCAGTTCAGAGTCAGTTCCACTGCCAGCTGTAATTGCTGTTTCGGAAAAAAGTAAGGTTTCACCACCAAAGCAAAAGTCAACAACTCTACCTTTGAAAAAGTCTGACAAGCAGGTAATACATATAATGGAAGAACATGAAAGTCAGAGGTCTGCTTTGACAAAAAGTGCTGAACTTGCGACAACTTTGCAGCAAGTTGATGTCCCAAATAAAACTGCCGATGGGAAATCTAAAGATGATAAGAAAGAACCTGATAGCCTGAACTCTCCACATGTGGCCACAGAAACAACAGAAGCTACTGTTGTGAAAGAAAATAAGCCTTTTCCAACCAAAAGAAGATATAAGAGTCCAAAGTGTTCCCCTGAACATGTAACCAAGGAGGTGGCGGAGAGTAAGCAAGATCCTGAAAGTCAGAAGTCGACATTAAGCTCTGAAGTTCAAACTGAAACTGTTGTTGAGGAAGAAACTAAAGTCATACCACCAAGGAGAAAATCAAGGGGTTTAGAGGCATCCAAAGTTCCAGAAAGTACATTTCTACTACCCAAGGGAATTTCAAAGAGTACAAAACCTCCTCATGAACCTTTAGAGAATGACACACCTCAGACAGCAATAGAATTGGAAGGTCTAAGATCTACTTTAGGTTCATTTGACAGAAAAAAAAGTGTTGTTATTGAAGAAACAAAGCTTGTAGCAACCACAACAAAAACAAAGAGTGGGGACTTTTCCACAGCTTCAGAAACCGTTGTTACCCATGTAATGTCACCTGCTGCTGAGCCTGAACAACGTAAGAAAGAACTTGACAGTCAAAAGTCATCAACTCTAGATGTTGTCGAAGGAACAATCAAAACTACTGTCGTGGATAAAGGTAATCTTTCACTAAGAAAAATTAGGTCAAGGGATCCGAAACTTTCTTCAGAACTTACTACCAAAGAGCTGACAAAGACTAAGGATCAATCTGACAATCAGAAGCCATCTTCAACCCCAGAGGTTGTCACAGCACCAACTGAAATGGCTCTTGTGGAAAAAGGTAAACTTTCCCCATCCAAAAGAAAGTCAAAGGGTCTTAAACTTTCCCTAGACCCTTCTGATATGCAGCAGAAAAACATAAAGGAAGAATCTGACAGTCAGAAGCCATCTGCAACTCCAGAAGTGGCCACAATACCAACTGAAACGGCTGTTTCGGAGGAAGGTAAACTTTCGCCAACCAAAAGAAAGTCAAAGGGTCTTAAACTTTCTTCAGAACTTACTACCACAGAGCTGACAAATACCAAGGAGGACTCTGACAATCAGAAGTCATCTTCGACTCCAGACGTGGTCACAGCAACGACTGAAAAGGGTGTTTCAGAGGAAGGTACACCTTCACCAACCAAAATAAAATCAAAGGGTCTCAAACTTTCCCCTGAAACTGCTTCTACTGATTCAACAAAGACCAAGGAAGAGCCTGACAGTCAGAATTCATCTTCAACTCCAGAAGTGGCCACAAAACCAACTGAAACAACTGTTGTTGAGAAAAGTAAACTTTCCCCAACCAAAAGAAAGTCAAAGGGTCTTAAACTTTCTTCAGAGCTTACTACCACAGAGCTGACAAAGACCAAGGAGGAATCTGACAGTCAGAAGTCATCTTCAACTAAACAAGTAGTTACAGCACCAACTGAAATGACTGTTGTTGAGAAAAGTACACTTTCGCCAACCAAAAGAGAGTCAAAGGGTCTTAAACTATCCCCAGAACCTGCTTTCACTGAGCCAACAAAAACCAAGGAAGAGCCTGACAGTCAGAAACCACCTTCAACTCCAGAAGTAGTCACAACACCAAGTGCAACTACTGGTATGGAAAAAGGTAAACTTTCACCAACCAAAAGAAAGTCAAAGGGTCTTAAACTGTCTCCAGAACCTGCTACCACAGACCTGACAAAGACCAATGTAGAGCCTGAGAGTCAGAAGCCATCTTCAACTCTAGACGTTGTCACAGTACCAACTGAAACTACTGACATGGAAAAAGGTAAACTTTCACCAACTAAAATAAAGTCAAAGGGTCTTAAACTTTCCCCAGAACCTGCTACCACAGGCCTGACAAAAACCAATGTAAAGCCTGAGAGTCAGAAGCCATCTTCACGTACAGAGGTCACAGCAGTCACGGCAACATCTAAAATTACTGTTGTTTCACTTACTAAAATAATGTCAAAAGACATCAAACTTTCCTCAGAACTTGAGGAATTGACCATACCTGCCAGGAAAATATTGAAAGATGTAGATGTTTCCACAACTGTAAAGCCAGCTTCTGCTGTTGTTGGAAGTGATGAGGTGGAGTCTAAGGAGGTTAAAGTAGAACCTGAGTGTGGGAAGGCTTTATCTGGACAGGTTGTTACAGGAGCTGTTGAAACTGATGTTGTTAAAGATAGTAAGCTTTCCCCAACCAAAAGAAAGTCAAAGAGTCCGAAGGTTTCGTTGGAAATTTCGAGCAAGGAGCTGACGAAGACCAAGGATAAAACTGACAGTCAGAAGCCATGTTTAACTCCAATCAAGGATGATGTGAAATCAAATGTCCCTCAAAAGATGAATCCTGCTGAGAGCAGTCAAACTACTGTGAAGGATGTCAGTCCAATATCTGAGAAGTTTACTGTTCAGGATGGTGGCACCATTCGGGTATTCCAAGAACAGAAAGGGGCTACAGTCATTCTGGACACATGTGTGCAAGTATCAGAAAAGGAGGATCCTTGTCTGTCATCTCCAAATAATGAGCCTTTGGAGTCTGTTCTTACATCCATTTTAACCTGGGCTATACCTCCACATTCTGAATTACAGGAGCCTGAAGATAAATCCAAAGAGGCCCCTAAATATACCATTACTCAGTCTACAGAAAAATACTTAAGTACATTACCTCAAACAAAGCCATCTCTTTCCACCAAGCCTACTGATACACCACATGTGGCAGACTACATAGACAAGTTATGTGAAAACACAAGTGAGACTCAGAAGAGATATCTGGTCCTTGATCTGCCTGAGGTTGGATTTACCCAGACATACGAAATAAAGCAAGATCAGTCTTTGACTGATCTTGCGGCTCAGAGTGAGTTCACTCAACCTACCTCAGCTGATTTTGCTGGGGTTCAGCCTTATAAGGCTGAGGCAGAATTTTCTAAAATAAGCTCAATTAAGCAAAACAAAGTAGAACCAAGTGGAACTCTTAGTCTCGTTCAGGATAGACGAGAACAAGGTAAGGTTTATGACTTCCAGAAAGAACTAGGTAAAATGTCAACACATGACATCGATGATACACCTAAGACCATCCACATGGAGCCTGAAGTGCGCATTTTAAAACGAGATATTCAGACAAGTCCAGAGGTGAATGAAAACCCATCTGTCACAAGTGCAAAAATTACACCAGTACAAGGAAGTATCCAGAGTGAAATGGACCCAGAAAACAAAGATTGGATTGCTGCTGTTGTTAAGACAGAGATGACTGCATTTAATATTACTAGAATACTAAAAAAAGTGCAAGAAATCACTAATGAAAATCATGGCGATGTGACTCAAAGGGACAATGCCCAACACTCTCCTTCTGAAGCATTGCCTCAAGATCAGGCAAGGACAGAATTTGTAGAGATAAGCATATCTGAGAAAGATATTGTGAAAACAAGCCAAACTGGGACTAAACAAACCATGTTGGAAAAACCCAAACAGGTCAAGGAACAGGTCGTAAAAGAGCATCCTACACCTTCCCCACATGGCATTGAACATGTACATAAGAGCTTTGATGAAAAATGTGTTACTATTGAGAAGATCACCAGGGGGCCTGAAGTGTGCATCCTACAACTGGATATGCCGACCAGCCTGCAGAGTTATGAATACACATCAGTCACAAGAGCGAAAGAGCCGAGGATAGATATTGTTCAAACGTGTAACCAGAGCGAAAGGCTGCTGGAAAACAAAGATGTTACCACTGCAGGTGTTAAGCCAGAGGAATCTGCAGGGGAAGTTACTAAGATAAGGGTGCAGGAGGGCAGTCCTGAATGTCAAGACAATGTGCCTAAAAGAGAATCTGCTCAACTCAAGACTTCTAGATCTAAATCATTGCAACCACATGAGACAGAGACAGACTTTATCGATATAAGCTTATATGAACAAGACATAGTTAAACCAAGCCAAACTGATACTAAGAAAGGAGACTTGAAAACTGCCCAAGATAGAGCTACAGGAAAAAAAGTATCTGGAGTCCAAGAAGGGCATCCTAACGTGTCATCACAGAGTATGAAAGATGTACCCAAGATCCTGGAGGAAAAGCCTGCTAGGATGCAACAAATCCAATTAGAACCTCAAATGCGCATCCTTCAACTAAATATACCATCCACTCTCGGGAAAGATGAAAACACGCCAGTCACAGGAGAAAAAGAGCCAAAGATACATGCTAAAGTGTTGACAAAAGACGTACATGATTTACCCCAGAGCATCGATCAAAAGTCTGTCAAAATTGAGAAAATCCAAAAAGGCACTGAAGTGCATATTTTAAAACCAGGTACACAGATCTCTATAAAGGGGCATGATATCCCCTCTGTAACAATGATTGATAAAGAACAAACAAGTATCCAAGGCAAGAAGTTAACAGAAAACAAAGACCTGACTTCAGCTGATGTTCAGCCAGATAAAGCTACAGTCAAGATGACCAAGTTAGAAGTATGCACAGGACCTGGGGTCCAAGAAGAGCATCCTATAGTTTGTACACCAGATGTCAAGCCAGAGAAGGCTGCCATTAAGACAAAAGAACAAGTTCCACAAATCCCCACTGAAAGTCAAAAGAATGTTGCCCTGAGGGACTCCACTCAACTCACATCAGTTGCTTCTACGGCAGTGAAGCCAAGTAAAGCAGAAAAAACACTTGCAGAAATAAGCTCATCCAAGCAAGACACTGTAAAACCAAGTGAAACAGAGATTAAACCTAGATGTGATGAAAACCACACAGGAAAGTCCCGAAGATGTAAAGGTAAAGGATCACAACAAGCAAGAGGTTCACGCTAAAGTGTTGACAAAAAACGTGCAGGATTCCTCCCGGAGCTTGGATATAAAGTCTGTCAAGATTGAGAAAATCCACGGAGGGGCTGAAGTGCAGGTTTTACAACCAGGTACCCAGGTCACTATTAAGGAGCAAGAAGTCGCATCTGTTCCGACAGCAAAGACATCAAGGGTTGTAATTGATCCAACAAGTATCCATGTCGAGAAAATGCCAGAAAACAAAGACCAGACTTCAGCTGATGTTCAGCCAGATAAAGCTGCAGTCAAGATGACCAAGTTAGAAGTATGCACAGAACCTAAAGATGTCAAGAAAAGTGGGGACCAAGAAAAGCATCCTAAAGTTTGTACACCAGATGTCAAGCCAGAGAAGGCTGCCGTTAACACAAGAGTAGAAGTTCCGCAAATCCCCACTGGAAGGCAAGTGAATGTTGCTCAGAGTTACTCCACTCAACTCACCTCTGTTGCTTCGACAGCATTGAAGCCTAGTCAAGCAGGGACAACATCTGCAGATACATCTAAGCAAGACACTGTTAAACCAAGCGAAACAGAGATTAAACTAGAGGTCTTGAAAACCAAACAGGAAAAACCCAAAGAGGTAAAGGATAGCAACTTGCAAGAAGCGCATGCTAAAGTTTCGACAAAAGATGTGAATGATTCACCAAAGACCCTTGATGAAGAGCCTATTAAGATGGAGAAAATCCTCAAAGGGGCTGAAGAGTGCATTTTAAAACCAGGTAAAGAGGCAACCAAGAAGGAGCATGACATCACTTATGTAACAAAAGCAAAGGCCCCAGGGATTGATATTGATCAAACAAGTATCCAGAGCCAAGAAGTTGCAGAAAACAAAAACCTGTCTTCAGCTGATGCTCAGCCAGAAAAGACTGCAGTCCAGATGACCAGAGTAGAAGTGGGCAAAGGATTGGTCAAGGAACATGGTGTCCAAAAAGAACAACAAACGAGTACACAGGCCACTAAACAGGAGCACAAAATCATGCCTGTTACGATAGAAAAGTCATCAAGGATTGTTCAAGACCAAACAACTCGTCATCTGGGCACAGAATTTCCAGAAAACAAAGACCTTTCTTCAGATGTTGTTCAGCCAGAAAAGACTGCAGTCAAGATGACCAGGTTAGAAGTATGCACAGGACCTGGGGTCCAAGAAGAGCATCCTATAGTTTGTACACCAGATGTCAAGCCAGAGAAGGCTGCCATTAAGACAAAAGAACAAGTTCCACAAATCCCCACTGAAAGTCAAAAGAATGTTGCCCAGAGGGACTCCACTCAACTCACATCAGTTGCTTCTACGTCAGTGAAGCCAAGTAAAGC